GATACTAAACCTAAGCTTCGCAAACATTTCTATGTTCAGTCACGGGATATTCAACTCTAGTTTAATTAAACTTAATTAAAGTGCAATTCTCCATTGTATTGCATTGTAATTGAGTTTAATTAAACTCCAATTAAAACGCAACCCTATATAGGAACGCGTTTTAATCGAGTTCATATCGCAACTATATTAAAAGTTAATTCAACTATATTAAAAGTTAATCCAATGAAGTCCTCGGAACATATAGCAATACAAGTATGTGTGTGTGTGTGTGTGTGTGTGTGTGTGTGTGTGTGTGTGTGTGTGTGTGTGTGTGAAGGTACACTCATGTACTGTATTTACGTTATTAGATGCACAGCTCAAATATAAGCTTATACTATGAGGTTATTACGAGGATACAGCAAAGTTTGCACAAAGACAGTACAGCGGGAGTATCATCTGTCGCGCAACGGAGATCAATGCGATGGTGTACTGTCTGAGTGCATATTTTGTGGTATGCTCGTAATAATCTTATTATTATACATCATTTCCTCCCAAGGATACTTCAAAGGAATGCCGAAAATCAAAAAGTTTAGAACAGATTTAGCGAACACCTTTTTGTGGAGTCCGGTCAAACCCTAGGGGCTGCCATGTTTATTTTTATTATTAGAGGACGCTCACAAGCATAATCACTCCATATTACGCATGTAAGCGTCCTCTAATAATAACAAACACTGCTCAGAAATAATATCAAACCCCACACAAAGTTTTTAAATTTAAACATTCCAATGATGTATCCTTGGTAGGAAAAGATGTATAATAATAAGTTTATTATTACAAGAATACCTCAAAGTATGCACTCAGACAGTAGACAGTAGAATCAACCATCGCTGGGCCTGACACGCACTGACTTTGTGCATACTTTGCAGTATCCTCATATTATTGTATAATGGATCATTAAAATACGACTTTTAATACTCATAGACACACCTCTGTAATTTACATAAGTGCACACACTTCTAATAAGTATGATATTAACCCTAATTTACATCCAAAAACTTCAGAGTTTAATAAGCATGAAGTACATGTCTTACCATAAAACAGTTTTACAATATATTTTCTCTATTAGAAGCACATCTTCAACAGAAGGCCCCATAAATCAAAAATTGACTGTATTCATCAAAATACATCTTAATTTGACCATAGATTTGCCTGCCATTTATGTAAGCACATGTGTTTCTAATTAGGGAAAATAACTTAGTTTAAAAGTTATATTAAAAATTCCCACATACCCTAATGACATCTGACAAGTAGGATTTCACACTGTGCTTGAATCGCATCCATTTCTTACTGGAGGAAGGTAAAACAAACCTACAAACAAGATAAGTATGACTGTTACATGTAATAACTGTTTATTTCAAAAAATCTTTTGAATTTCATTTTCTGCAGTCAATATGTATTTGCTCTATTAGAAGCACATCTCCAATAGAAGTGTATATAAACCCAACATTTTTAGTGGCTGTATCATAGTACTGAATCCTTAAAATACGACTATAGACACATTGGTCATTTCAAAAGCATACACCAACTAATAGAGCAAATACAGTGTGGTAAATTATCAATCCTTGTACCTTACTTTTTTTGTTTATGGTCTTTTAATTTCAGATTATGAAGTAAAGTTGTCGGCACACATCGTACACAGGTGTTTACAAGCGCATTGAACACTAGGAAACAAAAATATGATATTGGATGAGTTAGTGTGTGTGCAAGATGAGTTGATTGCAAACAAACATTTTAATTGTTATACTTTTATGATTGGATTTTGCGAGAGAGACAATCGCAAAATTTTGTAACAGTAAAATTTCTCCGTGGGAGTGAGTATGAGTCACTTTTGCAAAATTGTGTCTTCATGAATACCATAAATCATTAAATCGTGAATATTTCTAACTGCAAATATGAGCAGATGAGCAGTTGAGCAGTTTGAAAACAAAGCTCCATGGTGACAGATAATTTCTGTGAGTAAAATGAAATCTTGGATATCATTCCTATATAGTTTCATTATGCAACATATTTGATGAGACGACTACACAAATTGCAAAAATATCCGTGAATTCGCTGAAATTCTAGTATTAGTAATTATATTCCAGCTTGCAGTGATTTAGAACAGAATACAGTCTTTTTGAATCTGTGAACATTAAAACACTATTCAATGGCGGTAGCAAATAAAATTTGAAAAAAAAAAAATCACCAAAATTCAATACACTGAATATTGAACTTTTGATATACAGTTCCCATGATACAGACAGAATAAATCGCATGTATAGTCACATGACCCCCAACAAAGCTTTATAAATGGTTTTCAAAATCCAACTACCGTAATATCAAATGTTGTCAGAATTTCATTTGACAATTCTAAAATGTTTATGTCCACTTTTTAACTTATTTTTCCCGCCAAAAAATTGCATCATTTTTATGTACTTTTCCATAATTTCTTTCTAATTTTTTACCAAATTGACATGATTTCTTCTTAATTTTGGATCAAATTAACATAATTTCCCATTTCCTACAAGTTTGTATCAATTTTCTTGACATAAAGAGAAAGAATTACGTAGGTTTATTTTTATGAGCGGTGGCAAAACTTTGACGTTCAAAATGCTGAACATAGGCAAGCATATATTTTCACAAAATTTTCCTGACGTAATCAAAATTCATGGCTTACCAACACTTCCTTCTACTTTATATTTTCCTGTTTCTTGCTGCTCTTCTCTTTCAGTTTGTTGTACGGCCGATTTGAATGCCTTCACTAAGTCGTGGAATACAACAGGAGAATGGTTATCCTGAAACAACAAATACAACTTCACGGTCTTTACTTAATTTTGATAGTCCCCTCCATCTTCAAATGTTTTCTAGACATAGGCTAAGAATAAAAAACTGTAAAACGCTTCACTTTCACAGGACAAGACACAAATTTTGGCAGTCAGTGCAAATTGTGAATTTTTTTTACAGTAAAATATAATTTTCACTTGGAATTTATTTTTGCTATTTTCGTTGACAGGACTAGGACTGCACAGAGAAAATAAAATCCACCTTTTTTTCCTACATTATACATTTAAACTCAACAAAACTCTGTGGGAAAAAAATAAAATAAAGCATTTTACAGTAGCACTGCAAAATTTCTATGTGGTCCTACAACGAAAGTCAACAACTTTCGCGAAATATTCTCTTCAAAAATGCCATCAAAAATTGTAAAAATTCCTTAAAAATTGAACAGTTTATGTAATACAGTGATTTCACCATGGTTGCTAGCAGTAAATGTCTGTTTGTCTTAGCCAATGACAACTTGTTTCGTCATTTTACAAACATGGGTGGGTGGGGGAAAGGCGATCACAATATATTTCAGATTCACATAGCAAACAAGTCATTGTCAATGACACGTCCCCGTTCCGTTCCGTTCATATTTGAGTGACATATACATTCAAAGCAGATCATGACCGAAATGCACCTGCATATGTACAACACATTGTGCTAAATCTGAACAAAATCCATCCATGCATGACTGAGATCCGGTTCTGGAATTGTGAAAATATGTGATTTTGATGCATTTTCGGCCTTAAAATGGCCATCATTCCGCTATTGTTAAGCAGATCATGAAACAAATGCACATATCTATTTGTGACATGATGTACCATGTGTGTGTGAAGTTTGAACTTGATCAATCCAGACATGTCTTGGATACGGATCCAGAACTGAATTCTTTAACAAAATGGCCGCCAGTCGGCCATTTCGAACTTGATCCGAAAAAAAAAAAGACGTGCATCAAGGTCCTATTATGTTTAATGTATGTACCAAATTTGAACAAAATCCATCCATGCATAACTGAGATACGGGTCCGGAATGGTGAAAATGTGCCATTTCAATGCATTTTCGGCCTTAAAGCGGCCCCCATTTGGCTATCGTTAATGAGATCATGAAACAAATGCACATACATATTT